TGTGTGTGTGTGTGTGTGTGTGTGTGTGTGTGTGTGTGTGTGTGATGAAATGAAATTGTGAATGTGCGCGCGTGTGTGTCTCTACTTTATTGAAAAATTGTCGGGGTTGTACACAGGCAACTGATATAAAATCCATTCGAACTCGTGTACACGGCTCTGGTGTGCACTTGTATGCATGACACATTATATGTGGAACAGAATTTTTGTGCTATATTTGTATTGGTATTGAAGAACCGTGCAATCATATCAAAACGACATCTGCGAATATTCCTGAGCAAGTCGTCATCGCAATTCATATCGAATGAGCAAGATAGCTGATACAAATTGTTTGCATCGAAACGAGACAAATGAGTGTATCCAATGGCGCGCAGGTCGACAACATTTCAATATTGAAACTAAATGGCGATTGGTGACAGGGTCTTATTACGTAAATAGCACGTAAAAAAAAACTGATAAGAATGTATCGGTATTTTTTTAATTTAAAAATTTCGAAGGAAAATAGTCGCTGACATTCAATATAAATTCAAAAAAAAAAAATTAAATTTCACCGAAATTGTAAGCACATTTCGATAGTCAAACACTTACATTTTTAAAATCGATAAGAATGTGATAAGAATATCCAAATCAACTGGAATGTCAGAATTTTTCAAGAGATGTCACCACTTTCTAAGAATGAGAATACCTATCTAAATGGGCAGCACTAACACGACAAAGAAAACTCTGTATCCAAATAAAGTATAAACGAACACATACATGTACATGCGCACGCACACAAACAAACTTCGCATGCACACACATATTTGACCGAATACAATTGCCGAAAAAAGCGACTGATGCAAAGATACAGCTTTGACATTTCATTTGAAGTGTTTTCATTTTAAAACAAAAACATCAGCCATGGATGATCACAAACTTACATACGAAATTTATAAATATTCAAGTTATTCAACATCGTATTTTCCAGAGTAAGTAATTAGATAATTTTATAAATATTTCGATGGAATTTTTTTTATTAAAATTTAATACATTTAAATCATTTCAAATGACCAACTGAAAAGTAGTGTTAATTTTATATGGCGGCATACAATTGTATGCATTTTGTGTACGGAATGGGTTTAATTTCAAATTGCACATTCAAATGCATGAAATCACATTTCAATTTTGTGAGTTGTTTGTTTTTTCTCACATTCTGTCATTCTGTTTTTTTTTTTTTAATATTTCTGTCCTTTTTTGTATACAAATATTGTATGAATTTGCGTTTACGCGAAGTGTATTCGTATATACGATCGTTCCCACTGAGACGACGATAGACGCAACGTATTTCGATTAGATAATATGCCGGGAAAAATAAAACGCACATTCAGTGACACCGATTTTTACCGTTGTTATTTTTAGCAATGGCTATTCTGTTTATTATCAATTAGTATTTCGATGTGGCAATTGTGTTTAATACTCTCCTCTTCTTTGTATTTTTTTTTTTTCAATTCTATTTTATTTTCGACGCAAAAAGAAATATTCGGGAGGATTGCCCGAGTAATCAGGTGTCACGATGGTCATCGAATACAAATACACCGCCGCAATTTCTAACATTAAAACTACAACGATCGGCAATTGTGAAAAAAATTAAATTTGGAAAATATGAAAAAACGCATGTGTGTAATTTGCGAAAATTCAAAGTGGTCGGCGGTCTTGAAGAAGAGCATATGCTTTTGCTGTTCGAAGGGTAAGATGATTATACAATACATATATATCCGACATCATTTTCGGTTTTTGTTCTTTATGCGCCTTATTCTATTCTTCTTGTATTGTTTAACACCGATGCAAATTATGTCACTGTTATTGTTGTTTTTTTTTTTTCATTTTTGTTTGTCATTGGTGCTGTTGTTACTTATAGCGGGCTGAGAAATGATAGCATTCCAGAGGTATTTGATCTACGTCATAAAACAGATAGCGGTGAATTGATGCCGTTGATGTACATCTCAATAATACCTTTATTATCTTGGGGTCCGAGTTTCAACTTTAGTATTTGGTATGTGTTCATTCTGTAACATTCGCCATTAGTTGTTGCACTGAGCATATCTTTTTCGTATGTTCGCCATTTTTTTCTCTGTGGTACCGTTTAATTGAAATATTTGCTTTCTATTTGATTTTTTTTTCTCTCAAAAGGTACGTTGAATGCATTGGACAAGACGATCCCTTGCTTGTTCGCAGTAGTTTACGCCATTATAATATGGTAAAAAATATATTTAAAAAAAAAATTAAATGATTTTTAAAATGTTTCGCTGTTTTCGTTTTTCACATGGTCTTTACGCATTGGCAACAGTTACGTGAGGTCGAATTGGTTAGATTGTGTTTAAAGCATTTTCGACAACAAGGTTACGACAGCGCATTTAAAGCGCTACAAGACCAAACAAACGTTATTTTAGAAGATCCAATGATGTCAGAATTGCATGGAGCATTGGTTGTTCAAGGAGATTTTCAAAAAGCGGAAAATTTTATTGAAAAAGCTGTGAACGGTAAATAAATTGACGTCCATTTTCAAGTGTTTTCTTTTCTCTCACACCATTTTTCGTTTTATTTCAATTTTTAATAGATGGATTGATGGATAGCTACTTAGAAAATCAAGATTATAAAGCATCATGGGCATTACAAGAAACATTAAACTCGGACAAAAGACCAGGAATGAGAGGTGGTCATCAGCTCATTATTGACTCGGCAAATTGTGTAATGTATTTGTTCGGTGGTTGGGATGGATTTGCCGATTTAAATGATTTATGGTGTTACAATATTAAGCGAAATAGTTGGACACTGATTCATGATCGGGCTGATGCGTATGGTGGACCGTCGCCACGATCTTGTCATAAAATGGTATACGATCCATGTAATTCACAAATATTCACATTGGGACGATATTTGGACAGTAAAACTAGAACAACGGAATTTATCAAAGTAAGATTAACTGAACTCAATTAACAAACACATTATTGATTGGGGGTATGAATTGATTTTCAAAATCAATTGTTGGTTTTTTTTTTCATCTTATCACAGAGTGATTTCTATCTATATGATACGAAAGCAAAAACTTGGACGCTTATATGTGATGACACAAGCCAAGAGGATGGGCCTAATTTGATATTCGATCATCAAATGTGCATTGACATTGCGAAGCGTAATATTTACGTATTCGGCGGACGAATTCTTACACCAAGAAATATTGAAGTATTAGGAAGTGATCAAAATACATTTTCGGGCCTATTTTCATATCACATACCAACAAACACGTGGACACAAATTCTAGTCGATTGTGCACATCCGACCGCATCAAATCCCGAAGTAATGAGTATTAAATCACGTGTCACACATTGTATGGTCTTTCATCATGTAAGTTCATTTACATCAATTGACTTTCATGACAACTCATATTTTTATATATTGATACATATTCATAGCGACACAGAAAACTCTACATTTTCGGTGGTCAACGAAACAAAGAATACACAACCGAGTTCATTTCATTCGATGTCGACACACAAAATTTATCGATTGTGAATCCAGGTGACGGTACAAAATCTGATAAAAATAATGTACCAAATTCCGGATTCACACAACGTGCTACAATTGATTGTGAACGTGATGAAATTTTCGTGTTGTCGGTAAGTATTTAAGCATCTTTATTTTGTCATTTCGTTTTGTTCTATTGTTTTGATTTTCATCATTTTAAAATAGTAATTAGTTCAGAAAAAATTTAACATAAAAATCGAAGTTTTCTCTCTGTCGTTTGCCATTAATACAGAGTTTAAGTAAAGAAAAAGAACGACGTGATTTGAATCTCAACTCATTTTGGATGTACTCGTTAAAGAAAAATAAATGGTCTTGCATTTATAAAAGCGATCATTCGATTGAACATTGTTATTCAAAAGTACAAAGTGTATGCGCTGAACCCTGTCCTCGGTATGCACATCAATTGGTTTACGATTGGATCAATAAAGTTCATTATCTATTTGGCGGCAATCCGGGACGAAATACAACACCCGAACTTCGGCTCGATGACTTTTGGCTACTTTATTTGAAAAAGTATGTACACCGACTATATAGGCATTTGGACAGCGCAATATGATATCATTTAATTAAATATTTCTCTCTTTTTTTTTTGTTTCTTAATTAGACCAACCCGACAACAAATTCTTCGACACTCAAAATACTTAATTCGACGACTTGAATATGAAGAAATTGTCAAAACGAATTCCATTCGTGCTGTTGGCTATTTGCAAACAAGACTCTCCGAAATAATTGATCACAATGATACAGAGCAATTGCAAGAATTCCACAAATTGGCATCGTTATTATTTAAATGTGACGATAACATGGAGAGTGATGTGCAAACAACGACCGCAAACAGTAGCCGATCGAATAGTTCGGTGATGGAGATTGATCCAAAATCGCTAACAATAAGCCAATTTTCGTGTGCTTCGAACGACTCAATTGATTCAACCAGTTCAAAATCTGATTCAAATTACTCGAGTATGAAAAGTGAACGATATCATAATTATACACCACCGCCGCCAACAATTTGCTGCTATGGTGCGAATACATTGAAAAAAGACGCCGAACTATTTACTAATAAAAGTGAAGAGCAACAATTCGAGGTTAAAAATCAACGATGTTTGTTATATAACAAATTGATTGAACTGATGCCCGGTAATATGGTACAGCCAAAAGGAAATCTAAGTGACTTCGTTTTTATTTAAACGAATATTTAAAAAAAAAACTAATTGTATTATTGTAATTGTATTAATCTTAATCCAAATCGAGCGAAATCATTTGTATTGCTCATATTTTATCGTTCGCAAAATCGTTATTATCGTTGCTTGGTGAATTTTTATCTTTCTATCTCTTTTTAAGTTAGTTTTTACTTTGACAAATGATATTTTATCTCAATATCTCGATAATACTTACAAAAAAAAAACGAAAAAAAGTCTTCTGATAGTTATAATATAGATTTAATACTCACATCCATATAGACGATGTATCGAACAAGGAATTGTAATTTATAAAATTATATATAAATTGTGGCAAAAAAAGAGAAATTATCGATAACATTTATATCATATCAAGAATGCCATAAAATATGACTATTGTAAAGAAATACGAATTTTTGCATGAAATCTGAAATAAAACACTGATAGATCTATAGTTACGTGTATTATGAATCTGTTAGTATTGTCATGTGATGACTGTAAACCAATAAAAAAAATGTTCAAACTGAAATTAATTGAAAAAAAATGAAGTTAAAATAAATTGTATTGCAATCGTTTTTTTTTTTTTTTCATTACCAAAAGCAATGAAAATCATTATCCTGATCTATAGACATGATAAAATAAAGAAATTTAAACAAAGAATAAGAACAACCGGTCAACAACTTCAAAATGGTTATCAAACATGGAATATTTTTTTATTTAGTTCAAGTTCAATAGTCTTTACACTATTTCGATAACGAAATATGTTTTGATTATTTTGTACATTGGACAAATCAGTTGTCACATTACTGTGATATCAATAAAATAATAAAAATTCAATGATTGTTCGAGTACTTATGATCATCAGATAACAAGTCTTTATTGAAATTACTTCTCTATTCTCTCATATGACTGACTTGATCATTATACGTCTGCCAAAATATCATACATATGGCTGTCGTATAACAACTCACACAAATCATTGATCGCAGTGTCAACGCAAACTTGACGGCAAGACGATGTGAATCGCGTGCGAAGTGACAAACAATTTTGATGGTGTAAACGTATTGCAATATTGCATGCAAATATTATTTCACTATTACGACTAAATACATACATACACTTTGCAAACGACCTTCAAATAACATTTTTTTTTTGTATAAAACCAGTCCAAAGCCGACATTAAAAATTTGTGAACAGTGCCATTTGAATTGTTTTACGTGTTAAAATATATAAGCAACAACCGAAAGAGTGTATTCTGTGCATATATATTTCCATTTAAATGTGGTTGTCTCTGCGTCATTGATTGCAACATGATCATCATTATTGGCGCAATGTAATAGTTCCATCATTTCTTTTTTTCGTAAATGCACGCGTATGTGTCAACGTTTATTAAATCGCCAAATCATCAATCACACGCACTGTGTAAACAACGCATTTGCAACTATGTTTCTGTGGTTATTCCTACCATCACTTGCTTTCTATATCAACTGTATATTTTTTTTGAGCTTCACGTTCCGAGCGACATCTCTATGTGCTTGGCATTGAACTCGCGATCCAAACGAGCACCAAAGGCAATTAAAACATTTTTTTTTTTGGTGCGAAAAAGTCAAAAATGTCAACTGATTTTGTGTGAAGAAAAACCATGTGATATGCAACGTCCTCGCAGTTAATTTTGATGACACAAACTGTGCAAAGTAATTTCAATTTATTTTCCATCACAAATTCACTAAATACAAATAATAAATCGGTTTTTGTTCAATTTACACGGTATATCTTTATCGAGCGTAAAATGACAGACGTCACAACAAATGATTCCGTATTCAAACTTCAAACAATTAACATTCTACACAAACTTTTTGTTCTAATTTTCATGAGCACATAGAGATGGCGCCATCATGCAGTTTTTTACATTATTTGCCATTGTAAGTGATGGTAGGGTTATTCCCATCATTTTGTTTGTGTATTGTTGTTTTTGTATTTCGTAATAAATGTTGAGGCGCAAAAATACATTTATTGACAAACCGCATTCTAAAAATAAAGCGAATGAAGCATGAGTTTGCATTCATTACAGTGTGAATCGAATCTATTTTGTCTGGTCAATATCGGTTGATGACTTAAATATTCTATTATCTTTGTGCTGTAATATCACATTTATTCTTGAATATTATTTTATAAAAATGAAATGTGCATCTTTTGACTTTAATGCCTCCTACAGTTTTTGACCAATCTCAACCAAAATTTGCATGCTTATACTTTGGACCGTGGTCTTGGTCACCATGAAGTTTTCAGTCCATCATGGTCAAAATACCGATCAAGGTGAGATGGATATCGTTGAAAAGGTCTTGATCCGGAGATGGTTTTAGGCATGCTGGTTTAAAAGCATTTATCGAGATCATCATGGCTAATATCAAGAATCAAAATTCAATACAAAATAAACAAATTTTACACAACAAGTCTTACAGTGTAAGACAAACTTTTCCGCCATTGGTATCCATGCAAATAATATTTTAAGAATAGTCTGATTATTTTCAAATATTTGTTGAAAACCGGATAAATATTAGCAGTAGATAGTCGTTTTTTGGTCCTATTTCGATCATTAGATGGACCAAAATAGTCGAGCTATCGAAATGCGTTTAAGAGTAAATCTCAATAAAGTGTAAAAATCGTAGAAAGAGGCGATAAGATTACTGCCTAAAATGATAAAAAAATAAAATTCACGTATAGTTGGCGCTACATTCTATGTAATAAGCGTATACTTTCCAGAAAACAAGTGTGCATAGAATGCAGCGCCAACTATATGTGAATTTTATTTTTTATCGTTTTAGGCAATAAATCTATGGTTTTCTTATGGCTTCTTTGTGGGAATCTGGGAATGGTCAACTCTAACCATTTTGAGGATTTTCCCATTACAATACTTTTCCAATATGTGCGCGTGGAAGAGTAAAAAGTCATAGACATAGTAAATGTATGAATGGCCAGAAGAGCGTGCGTAGCGAGTGGAGGCCCGCTAGTGATATCACAATGTTGTCAAAAATTGATAATTTTACAATTTTCCAAAACAAAGTTGTGACGAATTTAAAACACCATTCCAAAATTAGCTTAAGTGCAAGCAAACCAGAAAAACGTTTGTATTAAATTAATTTTGATTGGTTCATTTGTTGTTGATTGTCAATGATTGACAACGCTGTATGTTCGATTTTTTTTCTCCAGCGCAGCTATATGTAAAATATTGTAAATATTTTTAAAGTGTTTGTGTCGTAAATTGCAAAGTAATCAATACTAATTTATAAATCAGTGCAAAAAAATCAATTCATTAAACACGTTTTTATTTGTGTTAAATTAATGAGCTGATCCTCTGTTACATTAATGAATTATTATATATTTTTCGCAACTGAAAGAATACGTTGGCGCAAAATAGAGATGCAATTTGATCCAGGATTAGGACTTGTCCAATGTTCTTCAGTCAGATAGAAATGTGGCGTTACTTTATATAATAACACTTAACGGGGCACTTCAAAACTGTTAAACAGTTGTGAAATGTTAACTTTTGAATTTTCGGCGCCACTTTTGTAACCATTTTTCACGCTTTAAAAGTAAATAAATTACCTTATACTAAAAAATCATTACCAACAAACTAATAAACTTATAACTTATTCCACAATATTTTGGCATCAATTTATACCAGAGATTGTTTTGCAAAGAATATAAATTAAATATCAAGTTTGATAAGCGGTAACTCAGTTTACAGCTTAGTTGTGCGTGTTTAATGAGATACTGCCAATGAATGCAGTAAAACGTTCATCAAAATCAAAATATAAGTGCTGATTTATTCAATCGAAAACAATTCCCGCTTTATAATCATGGTATGGATGCAATCGGTCGTGTTAATTACGAAACGGCATCGATAAGTGTATTTTTTTAGCTTTTGATTTTACATCAATACGCGTCAATGTTGCAAACTTTTAACAGTGAAAAATCATTTTTAACTGAAAGAATTAGTTAATAATTTAAAATTCCAATGGGATTTGCTTATACGTCACAGTTAAATAAAATTATTAAATATATACATGTACGTATATAAGACGTAAATTTAATTTGATTGTCTATTAAGTTTGCAGATGATGAGCGTATCGGATATTAAAATTTACTGTCAGTTGTGAAACAAAACTTGTTCGTTCTGGGAGGAAAAACGAACCAAATACATTTCGCACATCGATTCAAACCGGTAATTGGATTTGTTTGTGGTGGGCTCAATAAATGTGGCAGCATCATCAATAAAAATGCTAGAAAATTGGCAAAAAGTGTCCTTTCTACTGTGTGTATTCGGCTTTCTGCGTGAGATGCGACCATCAGAGCCATTTGCCGTCGAGTTTTTCATCAATTACCGAAACATCACCAACGATGAATTGACAAATTACTATTTTCCATTGGGCACCTACTCGTACATGATTCAGTTAGTTGTCATTTTCTTAATTACCGACATAATGAGGTAAGCGTTCGTTTCAGTTTATTGAAACTGTTGTGCGTTGAATATAAGTTTCGTGATTCAATGAATTTAGAACACGAACTATCGCGATTATATAGTGAGCGTTGGCAGTAATGCGTTTCCCTTTCTCTCGGTGTTTTCTTTTTTTTTTAAACTTTAGATACAAGCCGATTATAGTGTTCTCTGCATTTATTGGAATGCTGTTGTTTGGCTTGATGTCGTGGACAACATCAAAAGAGGCTATTTTATTCGTACAAATGGCCTTCGGAACGTTTATGGCATGCGAAATAGCCTATTATACATATATTTATGCAAAAGTAGAACGCAGCAAATACCAATTAGTGACAGGACACACACGATCTGCAATATTGGCCGGTCGATTTGTTGGTGCTGCATTCGCACAATTGATCGTATCCTTTGGTTTGATGAATTACAAGGAATTAAATTATATTTCATTTGGATGTAAGGCATAGGCTGCACCTTTTCAGTTGGCTATAGCTGCTTTTTTATGCGCCATAAAATCTATTTTAACACACACACACACACATTTCAATTTCGGTTTCTCTATTTCTTTCAGCTCAATGTTTTTCGCTGATTATTGCGCTTCTGTTGCCATCGGTGAGTGTCAGTTTGTATTTCTATTCGAATTCAAATGGAAATGAAAATGGAAATGAAAATGAAAGTGGTAATTGCCACGTAAACCATGCACATTCCAATGGCAGTATGGATGAAATGCATGTAAGAAAAGTGTCAGCGACCAATGACTGTGATTTGAGCAACATTGAAAAATCAAATTCCAAGCAGAATGTCGGCGAACACGGAATGCCAACATTTTCATTGTCGCATGCAATTCAACGAATCGGTAACCACATAAAAACATCGTACTCAAATGTGACCGTGATTCAATGGAGCATTTTGTGGTCGATGTCAATGTGTGGATTTTTGCAAGTACGTGCCATTAAATTTTCGATTTTATTTATCTCTCTATACTCTCAATCTGTTATCATACCAACGCTCGTTTATTCCGTATTCCGTATATTCAATTTATTTCCCATGTATCTATCTCAATTTCATTTTGCACACACAGGTTCAATCATACATTCAACCGTTGTGGAAAGAAATCGATCCACACGAAACGGTCTTATACAATGGAGCTGTTGAAGCATTAATCACACTTTTGGGAGCTATCAGTGCATACGCGGCCGGTTTCTTGAATAGCAAAAGTTTCAATCGTTATGAAATTTGGATTTTAACTATTTTAATGCTGGTTGAAGGTGGTCTTCTTCTATGGGGCTCACTTACGACATCTTTATGGTGTTGTTACATTTCCTACGTGATTTTTGGCATGATTTACCATTTTATGATCACAGTTGCAAGGTACGAAGTCAAATATACAAATAAAATTGATAGATATGTTTGTCATTTAATTCAATGATCGATTTGAAATTGCTACGAAATCAATTTTCATTTCTTTTTTTTTCTTCTTCCTCTTCTATTTTCAGCGCATCTGTTGCGAAGAAGTTGCATGAAGAATGTTTCGCTTTGATCTTTGGCATCAATACCTTATGCGCACTGATTTTACAATCATTTCTAACCTTTGTTGTGATCACAAAGTACAATTTACTATTGCGAACTCAATACCAACTTTATTCGTATTTATTCTTTGTGCTGGCATTGATTTATAGTGTGATTGGTGTTGCCAAAATGTTTGTCCAACGAAGAAAACTCTATGAAGTCAAGGGTTAGCGCTTAGCGCATTATCAAAACCATTTTCTACAACATCTATTTCGAATTGATCGATCAACATTGATTTGAGTTAACCTAATCAGTTTGATTGTAAATGGTACAAAACGTCATAAAAGACAAATCAAAATGCATATTCGATAAGTACAAATCATTTTGCTATGTATATACAAAAAGTATATTATACTATTAGTATACGATATAGTTTTTCTTTTTGTTTTCTGTAAAAAATAAAAGAATAGTGACGAGAAAATCTCATGAGCGACTTAAATAAAACAACAATGGAAATTGACATGAAAATTCCGATATTCGTTTATATTACCTTAACGTCGTCTGGGTCGATTGAAGCGAGAATGAAGTACATAGTAGTAAGCTAATGGTTGTGAACAGATGAAGCAAGTTGTACCCTTTTCGATTGGAATTAATGGTGCCGTTATGTCGTAAAAGTATCAAATTTCTAAGATTTATGTATGTATGAGCTGTGGTAAGATGGAGAGACGAAACATGTTATAACACACACACACATGTATATAAAAAAATCATGTGTTTTTGTGAGCCATCGAGCCAACCGGCAAATCCGATAAAATTATGAAGCCAGAATCAGTTCTGGCAGCGCTGTTCAAGCGAGAGAAAATATTGAGCCATTTCTTCGCAAAACGTCCGTAACTTATATTTTGACAAATGGGTAACCGAAGAAGAAGAAAGAGAAATCGGCGAGTGTGCATAAAAAAGAATAAAAGAACACACACACTGTCATTCAGATTTGTACAGTGACATTTTATAGACGTTTTGTCGCATATCTTTATCAAAATTACATCTCGATGTGGTATTGGTTTTTTTCTAATATTATTTCTATCTATGTATGGCTTATATATTTTTGGTGTTGTAAATATTGAGCATGGTGTTGTCGATAGTTTTGTTTCATCTTGCAGACGCGACCTTGACCTCCTCAATCAATACAAATGGAACTTAGTAAATGTGTCAAACAAAAATCTATTACTGGAGATTGGTTGATGTGATAACCAATATATATTTATATGCTGTACATTGGTGTGTCTGTAAAGATGATTTCATTATGTTTAATTTATGTAAATTGGATTCTTTTTGAGATGAACGATAGAGCTGAATAAAATAGATTGCATTCAACTTGAACAGTAATTAACACGCTCAAACTAACATGAATAGTGTACTATTTTTGAAATTGCCATACGAGAAAAAAAAAGACGGTACCGAAACTTATTTTCATTTGAATTCGAGACAAATCACCGCATTGACGGTTATGCGTTGCACTTATTTTTCCACAATGTACTAGAAAGATAATCTCATTTGCAGCGTAGATAGAAAAAGGACGCGTAATTTTGCGGTTTATGAAAACTAAAATTGGCTCTTTTTAAACTTATCCAAGCAATTTACAGTTAGCTTACAGCACGGTTGCTATCACGGTTTCATTAATTTTTCAAGGTTTTTGAGCATCAACGGTGTTGGCTTGTGTAAACACATCATATAATTGTCTAAATACAGGGTGAAATGTGTGCAACATGTTTAAAGAAGACAGACATTTTCAGGTCTCTAAAGGGAATAACCATATACCGTGATTAAATTCATTGTTTTCATTTTATTAAAATTTATATGGAGAATTTATCGTTACACAAACATACACATTTTGGGACGATCACATTTCCCAAGGAAATGATATGGTTGTAATAATTTGCAAACAAAATAACTAGCAGCTGCATTGTTCGACCCTAGGTGATGACGAGGGTTCCTAGGGTTCGGGTTACCCCCTCTAAAATATTTTTAGAAACCCTCAACAATTTTGGAAATTAGGACCTTTTTTGCTTTTCACTTTTTTGACCGAGAAAATTCTTTCGATTTGCTAGGGTTTTTCTCCAAAAAAGTGAAGAGCAAAAAAAAAAACGATTTTATCCTCATTTCCTACAAATTGTTCACATCATCAGGGACCCCCTACGGAATTTTACCATCACCCTCCTCTAAAAAAATTTCCGTCATCATCTCTGTTGTTCGACTATTCAAGCAAAAACATTCAATGATTATTACATTTTGAGATATCCAATGAAAAATATCCAAACAACAACAAAAACAATTAAACAAATGTTGGTTTTTTTTGTTGTCAACTTTGGAAAAGAACACAATTTTATGGATTACATGTTTATTACTTAACTGTATTCTCATTTGTTTAAATGTATGATTTAGTCAATTTGCGTACTTTGTAGCTGAAAACACCTATTATCATACCAAACGGTGTCAAAAGCAGCTTTGCTTGTTTATCATTTCTTTTGAAATGGATAAATAAAAATTAACCCAGTAACAAAACTGTTCACGAAAGGAAATCAATATTTCAAATTGAATAGAAAAAATAATTTCCGTCAGCAAATAAATTTACCAAATCAATCGCATATACTTTTTAAAGGAATAATATTGATTACAAAATACAGCATCATGGATGATACCTTATATCAAAATGTGGCACTTTTTTTAATTAAAGGAATTTCATTAGTCTTCTGGGTGCCTCAAATAAACCGGCGTTCGTGATTTTGATGAAAGAGAAGAATTGGGATTTTGCTGTTGTTGTCAATAAAAAATGACAATAACTTACATAAACAAAACCAACCATTCTCTCACCGGATTCATAATACAATGTGCTCTCTCTCTCAGAGAAAGAGAGCTCCGTGTGTTAATTTGCTTTAATTTCATAAAGATTATTGTATACAGTTTTTGTATAAATGTTTGGTATCTGAAAATTTCAGTCACAGCCATTACCAGAGCAAATGATTTGTCATTATTGTTGTCAATTCCAGTCGATGTCTGAATAAAAAAAAAATTCCGAAATGTCCATGCAATTAATTGTATCTTATACGTTTGTAATTCAACCATTGTTTATTCAGTTCAGTAAATTCATTAAATGAACATAAAATCATTTGTCCTTTCTATTTGTTCGCGAGAATTTCCACTGAAATGTAATACCATGGCTGTTCAACAATAGAATTTCACTAAAGTCATTGTGTTTGTGAACAAAACGGGACCAAATTTTTCGAAATTAACATAACTATACGTACCTACGTAATTTATGTTTATGCTTAAACTGAAAGAAAATCTACCAAATGACCTACCTTCAAACATTCCATTTTAATTTAGTTTATCTGATATCTGTTCAACTTGAATACAATACATTTGCTCCGGTTCTTTTTGAAAGTGCTTCAAAATTCTATGGCATTCGGCTATTTTCGGAATATATATTCAATGTTTTGCACCTGAACGTGCTGTTCCTTTTCAAATGAAAATTGATGAATTCTATGGCCGTAAAAAACTACTACAGTAAAAAAAACTATGGATACAGGTGAAAAATATTGCATATATGCTATATGAATAAATTCGATTGATACATAAGCAAATCGATTGGAGTGAACATCTCTTATACATAACAAAAATAAAATTGCAAAACAAATAATTTTGATGGACATGGTTTTATAGTTCAGTTTGTAAAAAGTTTTGAGCCGAACAAATATGGTGAATGTGCTACAAATGGTTTAAATACAATGCCAAGTTACTTCATAGTAATGCTTGATGTATATGTATAGAAATAGGATGGTGTACCGATGACTCTTAGAAAATTAAATATACCTGAAACGAATAACTAAAATTGAGGTAAATAAATGAAAATGCAAAGAAATGTGATAGAGATGCATTGAAGCTTTCACAAAGTCTGACGGACACTGATTCTATGATTTTTTCGAAAGAACATCTCTAAATCTAGAAATTGAACCGTTTCAATGAAATTAGATGGTTTTTTTTTACTTCGAGTTATAATGTTTATACAATCCTATACAAGGCCCCACTGAGTATTTTTGGACACTTCGAACGAAAAAAAAAAAAACAATTTGAGTGCACATCAAGCAATCATGAAAAGTGATATGTTAGGTTGAGTTGAGTGATGATGCACATTATATTCACTTTTACTACAGCAACAACTTATCGAGAATGCTCGTTAATCCTCTCGAGAGAATGCTCAGAAATGTGTTTTATATTAGTAAAACTTTTGCGAAGGTCTTTGAGCTCTCTCTTCAATGGAAAACTTTTGACGTGTTTTTTTGTTGCACAACTTTAAATCAATTGATGCAGTCTTATGTATCAAATTAGAACTTATTCAACGGTACATCGATACGCTATGACATTTTATTTCATTGTTTAATCTCTGTTTGCACGTAGATGTATAAAACAAAGATAATAATTTGTTTTCACAACAGATTTTCTATTAAACGGTAACGAATACATTTGTAAATAAAGGAATAGTGTCATAGGCAAGTTAGTCTCTTTTTCTGTTTTATATCAATTTCATCTTTTCAATTCAATCTATTCGTGTCGATCGAGTGCAGATTCAATATCAATAAACTACATGCCAACCATATTTGACTGAGAGAAACTTAATCCCGTGTGTATATAATGAATTAGAACTGCTAACAGTGGTGGAAATAATTTTTTTTAAAGCAAGATCAACGACTTAAATGCCAAAGTGAGATGCTCTTTTTCTGTTCTGAAAATCAAATATCGCACATATCGAATAAATCAGGGCACTTTAAGATTCATTTTATTAGCACATAAAATATGTGAAATTTTGAATAGTTCTAAATGGGAAATTCTCAAATCTATCCCATTTTATTTATTAACAGCAACGAATCATGTTATATACATTAGATTTTATTTTGTCGAAATTTGTATAAATGGTACCCTGCTTCCATGTACTTTTCGCGGAATAAATCATCACAGCAAATACATTGGCAAAGTATTCTTCGGTTTCTATTGGTGCAGCGTGTCTCTTTAGTTTAACCTTTTGAAATGTGGAATTTTTGCGAGCGGCACTCATTGATGGTGACAACACAAACGAATCCTTGGCATTTTATTATATGTTTGTAATAGCTTCCAGCGATATCAAGTGTATATCAAGTTTTAAAGATGCACATATGCTGCCCTGCACATATGCAGGCCGCGATGCACCTATTCAAAATGCTGTCAAGAGCAAGAAAGTTTTCACTCGATAGATTTTACACATTGCCATTAAATTGAATCGAATGGATGGCACATAAGTTGTGTGTGTGCGCGCGCTTTTTTTCTTCAATGTGCAGGTTTGTATTTAAACAATTTGCGATAGAACCTAATATGTCGTTAAATCAGTGAAATGCTCTTCAAGAACTTCATTCACTTTGTTCATAATAAAGACTTTTCAAAACATTACCTTGGAAAATCCGCTCTGACTCTACCAATAACGAATAGAATGCATGCTC